TAATGTTCATCTTCTTTTCACTCCTGTAAGCAATGCAAATACAAAAATAAGAGTTTGTGAAAGAGCTAAAATTTAAATGAAATAAAAGTATGTGGTGTGCTATTAGGTTGAAATTATAAAAAAAAATTCAGAATTTTGAATAAGAAACGTTGTACTAAATAACATTTATTATATAAAAGCAGTGTAATAGATAAATTTATTGCAACATCTAAGCATTGTAATAAACTTTACAATCATTTTACAATGTTTAAAACTACCGAACGCTATAAATCTATTATTTATTATAGTATTCCACTTTAAATTTCTTTTAGCACAATGATTTAATTTTAATATTTAAATGACAATACTTTAATATTTAAATAACGATACCTTAAAAAAATAACCTAGATTTGAATAACTTATAATTTCACCTGATATCATCAAAATTTGTCATATTAAAATGATGACAAGAGAATAAAATAAAAAATAATTCTGATATTATACATAAATATTAAATTATTCTCAGATAAAATTGAATTTTTTAAGTGCAAAAGAATATAAATTTAAAAAGTTTTCCAAATTACCTATTTATACAGGTTACAAGTAAACAATCTTGATCATTGATTTTTTTATTATTTCATCGACAGTCAATACAACATAGAATGTAGATGCACCTATTTTATCAATGAACGTGAAGGAAACAGTCGGAGAGGAAACAGCAAAACATGACGGCGTATAGATATGATATTATATTCGTGAGTTGTGAATGCAATGGTACAGAAGCAGGCCAGGAACGGTTCTTGTGGTTGTTTTCGGAAACTAAAACAATGTCCTGTATATTTAATTATTTTATACACCAAAATCTTACATAAAATTTTGTTCATATTTAGAATCTTTTGCATTGTGTATAAAAATTGAATCAGTAATTACATAGAATTAATGAATTTTCTGTATATTACACGATTGTTATTAAATTAAATTATTTTTTATTAAAAATTAAAGGTCTATTCACTCTATTGCATATTTTAAAAAAATATTATAAATTTTAAAATTTATATTATTAGTAATGCGTGAATACCTAATTTTATCCGGATCCCCATTTTAAAATTAAAAATTAAATAGAATGATTCAATTTTGTATGAGGTTAAGAAAATAGATAAAAAATAATTTAAATTTTTAAATTTAAAATTTAAAATCAAATTTAAAAATAGTTGAAGTGGTTTGTAGATTTTTAAGAGAGTTGATGAGAAAGAAAAAAAAACTAATTACTGGTCATATTAAATGAAAAATAAAGGGTCATAGGAAGTTGGAGCCTTTATTAAAATAAATAAATGTATATTAAATGAGATTTAAGATTTTAGAAAATACATATATATAGGAAACTTAGGCTCTTAGAGAGGGAGACACTTTTTTAAGACAATGAAACACAAAATGAGAGAGAATTAACACCTTTTAAAGAGTACAAACAAATTGAGAGTTTAGGAAATAAAGAGAAAAAAAAAAAGAGAAAAAATTTAGAGAATTTTGAAGACAAAAATAGAGAGAATTGAAAAGATAGAACACAATAAAATAAAGAGGAAAGATAAAAAAAGTCACAGAAAAATAAATATTCTAATAATATTAGGATTCTCAAAGTTTTATAATCAATAACACATTAAAGGTTGAAGGAAATATCTTCAATCAAAGTATCATAAACCACTACAAGAGAGTAAAAAAAGCAAGCACGAAAAAAAATGATCTTCTATTTATTTGACAGTCAAGCAAAGACTTATTTTATTTTGTTTATTTTATTTTTATTCTTCTTTGTGTGTTTTCTTTCTTCTTCTTCTTACTTTCTTGATTTTTACTTGTTCGTACTTGCATTGTAAAAGAAAAAAAAAATAATCTCATAAAACCTTAAAAAAAAAATTTTTTGTTCCTTTCATTTTACTAATAAAATTTTAATTTTACAAAATCCTAACTTTTTTCAAAATTCAAAAAAAATCTAATCTTGTGAAATTTAGACAATTTTTTCATTTTCTCCCTTTCTTTTTACTAATAAAAATTTAATTTTACAAACTTTAACTTTTTCAAAATTTGAGAAAAATTTAATCTCATGAAACTTAAGAAAATTTTTTCCCTTTCGCTCCTTTTCTTTTACTAATATAAATTTAATTTTAACCCTAAAAAACCTAATTCATAAAAAAAAATATTCCCTTTTTTTTTCTCAAAAGTCATAAATTTTTTTTTAACACTAAAAATTCATTCCTTTTTACGAACCCAAAAAACAAAAGCCTAATTTTTTTTCTCCAAAAAAAGCTTTTTTACAATGATAAACCCTAATTTTTCCCAAAATGCTTTTTTTTTTCTCCTAAGAATCATCCTTTTTAAAAAATCTTAATTTTTTCTAAAAATTTTTTACAAAGACAAATTTTTCTAAAGTTTCACTAAGATTAGTTTTTTCTCAGATTTTGAAAAAAGTTAAGATTTTGTAAAATTAAATTTTTATTAATAAAATGAAAGGAACGAAAGGAATTTTTTTTTAGTTTTACAAGATTAGTTTTTTTTTTTTTTACAATGCTAGTATGAACAAGTGAAAATCAAGAAAATAAGAAGAAGAAAAAAGAAGAAAGAAAACACACAGAGAAAAATTTAAGAAAATAAGATAAAATAAATCTTTATTTGACTATCAAACAAAGAGAATTCATTCTTCTTTATACTTATTTTTTTAACTCTCTTATAGTAGCTTAGGGTTCTTTGATTGAAACTCTCTCCTTCAACCTTTAATGTGTTATCGACTCTTTAAGATGTGAGCTTTGAGGATCCTATTACTTTTAAAATACTTGTTTCTCTGTAACTTTCTCCTCTCTCCTCTTTGATTCACCGTGTTTTCTTTTTTGAATTTTCATTTTTTTTTCTCTTTCAAATTCTCTCAATTCCCTCTCTCTTTTCTCTTCTCTCTCTTTCCTAAACTCAATTTTTTCATTCTCTCCAAAAGGTGTCAGTTTTTTCTCCTTTTGTTTCACCGTCTTCAAATATGTTTATCTCTTTGAGAACCTAAGCTTTATATTTATAGACATTTTTTGAAATCCTAAATCTTATTTAATATATAATTAGTAATTTTAAAATTAAAAATTAAAAATTTAAATTAGTTTTTATTTATTTTCTTAATATCCTATAAAATCGAATCATTATATTTAATTTTTAAAATTTATTTTTGAAAGATACCCAAATAAAATTGGATATTCACATAATGAATATTTATTATATTAAATAAAAATAAATTAAAAAAATAAAATTATAAAATTTAAAATAAAAATACTAAGAATCCAAAATTTAAATTAGAATTAATTAAGATTATAGTAATTTTAAATTTTAATTTATATAAAAAGTTATATTCAATTTCATATCATATATCAATATTTAAAAACTTAAATAAATTAAGAAATGGTATTTAAAAGGAATAAAATTAAATAAATACTCGATGCAAGAGAGAGTATTATTCTGTTATATTTTTATTACTTTTTTAATAAAATTTTAAAGTGAGAGACGTAATTTGAATAATTTAAAAATAATAAAAACTAAATATGAATAACTGAAATTAAAAATACTAAATTTGTGCATAAATTAAATTGAGTTAAAAACTAATGTAGGTTGTTGACGTCAAATGTGACTTACTTATTTAGCTACTCACATTTGTTATATCTATAAAAAGAATATAATTGCATATATTAAATGGAACTTAACTAAAATGAAATATCTAATTAATATTCTACACATACGGTTTTGTAAAATAATAATGAAAAATAAAAATCCGTATGATAAAATATATCGAATTCCACACATAATATTTGGCTTGTCTAAATCCAATTTCCAACAGTATAGATTACATTATTTGAAAAGAAAAAAAAAAAAAAGAGAAACCAATTTAATAAAATTCAATATAAATTTCTCTAGTAAGGTATAAAAGACATATTTCTGCTAGAAATTATTTGTCATTTCTTGATCCCTGTTGTTTTTCCTTTTTCTATTACCAGATGCAAATTTACCATGTTCACGAAAATTCTTGTTTCTCTTCATGTTTTCCCTTTGCAGCTTATTAAAATCAAATTGTCTTGTGTGCTTGGGTTATGTATGTTTGTGGAATATTAACCGATATCCAACTGTGTAAACTATTTTAAACTTTCAATGTTTGCGATACTTTCAATTCGACAATTTTTAGATGTACTAATAAGATGGGGGATTTCATCGTTTAGAATCGAAAAAAAAAAAAAATAATGGTTAACTACGATATGGTTTTATAAGAATTTCTCAAAGATTCTTTGTTTTCTTCCCGAAAAAGCCAATCAAGCAGAAATATCCTCTTAATCACGTTCCTTTTGCTTTTGTTTAGTTTTTGTCATCTCTATCTTGCTTTCGATATTTATCTTTATTTCTCTTTCTTATTATTAATTTCACTGCTTTCTTCAATTCTTGACAGTTTTTTAGAGTAAAAAAGATTTCAATGTTTTCGATAAATTCAAATCGACCATTTTTAAATGCATTATGATGCATGATTCCATCGTCTAAAATCGACAGAAAAAAAATGGTTTACTAGGAGGTTTTATGAGAAATTCTCGAAGATTCCTTTTTTTTTCTTTTTCTACCCGACAAAAGCTAATCAAGGTGAATCTACTTAGGTAGATATCTTTCGTTTTTGGTATTGGTTTTTCTTTTTCTATTAATTTCGTTGCTTTCTTAAATTGTTGACAGTTTATATAGAGATAACTATCATAATTTAAAACATCACTTATATATTAAAATATTTCAAGTGAAATTATATAAATAAAATAACGCAATAACTAACGAAAATTAAGTTTATTTGAAGATATTAGTCTCTTACAAACTAATAAACTACGATTTGAAATCTTCTTATAAGAAAGAAAGAAAAGAGAAATAAAGTGACAAAGTCGCGATTAACCTTGCCCTTATCTATAAATAGAATACGACCCCTCGTTTCCAAACAACTCAATAAAAGCAACAAATTTATCTATCAGTTGAGCATGGCAAACACTCGTGTGTCGATGGTTTCCTTGTGGCTAATTCTGAACGTTATTCTAACCCTTTTTCCTTATCTTGCGAACGCATCGTCGTGCAAAGCCAATGGCTTAGAGTCCCCCGAAGTCAACCCTTCTGGAACGCACGCCATCCTCACTGTAAACGACTTCGCCCGCGGCGGGGACGGAGGGGGCCCCTCCGAATGCGACGGAAAGTTCCATCCGTTGCCAGAAAGAGTGGTGGCACTGTCCACGGGATGGTACAGTAAAGGTGCACGGTGCGGGCGAAAGATAAAAATCAAAGCCAGAAATGGGAGGAGCACGGTGGCGAAGGTGGTGGATGAATGTGACTCCGCGCATGGCTGTGGGAAATCAAGAGCTTGCAGGACCAACGTTGTTGATGCCTCTAAAACTGTGTGGAAGGACTTGGGACTCAACGTTGATGATGGTGAAGTACCAGTGATTTGGACCATGGCTTAATTCAATTCATCATCGCATCAAGATTAACGACATAAAAGGGACAACATATCTACTTTATATTATTAAAGTAACTGCCGAATAAAATTATCACGACTCAATTTGCACTTCATTTGGTTGGAATCTACTTGATTCACTTGAAGATGCATCACATATCATATCACATATATTTGTAATAATATGTCGTGCGAGTTCAGTTTTCTTCTATATTTGTTCTTTTTTTCGGTGCAACGTTAACTAGTTATCTCATTTCATTGAACGATCTTTAATTTCCACATGTTAGTTCCATTAGTAAAACGCGAGTGTTTTTTTAAATTTAAATCAATTTTATCTATGTAGATTTAAAGGAAATATATAAAAGACAAATATATTGTCACACTAATATTGTCTGTTGTCATGCAAGTGTTGCACCCAAATTGAATATATGTTATGTACAGGCATTAAGTTACAAATGGATGATGAGAGATCAAGGAGAAGCAGAAATAATTTTATCCCTCGTCTTCATATTATTTGTAATTTAAAATAATTTTCTCAGTAATCATTTTAAATAACAAATATTAACTTTAATTGCTATGGTTAATTTTATGTAACTGAAAGTGATACTTTTTTGTAAAAAAAGTTAAAAATAATAAAATTTATTGAATATTAAGTATTTATTATATTGAGAATACGAAAAATATAATCAATATTATTTTATTTAAATATAAAAAATATTTTTAGATGCATGAAATCAACTCTAAAAGTTAAAATTAACATAATTGTATTAAATATTAAGATAAATTATTTTTAAATAAAATATCTTTATTAATATATGAGTTACATGTAGTTGTAAAGTTATTATTATCTTCAATTTTTTTTTTAATTTTATCTTTTAAGAGGGTAACAAACATATAAAAAAAATTAATATTATTATTTATATCAAAATTCATAATTTTTTATCATATAGTTCGAATTCTAACAAATATAATTGTGCTAAATAGTAAATACTTAAAGAAAAAGTTTGACTGTGGATAATAATTTTATTTATTTTGAACAGTAATAAAAAATGTGTACGGTCTTGACCCAAAAAAAATAAAGTTGACTTATAATTTTCTCTCATTTATGATAAGTATTTAAAAACCAGATAAAATAAACACATAAGTAAAATTAGAGTAATTAGTATTATTTTAATTTTTTAATGAACTGATAAATACAAATAAAGTTTTGTTTTAAAAGTAAACAAAAACACCAAAGAGAATAAATATTTAGTTAATACATTGATAACTATATTTTTTGAATTAATATATTTCTAATTTTAAAATTAATAAATATTTTAAAACAACCGAAGGATCTCAAAGTGATATATAATTGGATAAAATTTATACGTAATACCTTGATTGTTTTTATATTATTTTTTATTCTTTAGTTATAATTAAAATTTTATGTCAATAGAAATAAACTCAACATTAATTAAAAAAAAAAGACTAAAAGCATATAAAATACAATGATTATGTTTTTTCCTATATAATTTGAAAGAATAAATTTAATATTTCTACAATACTATTGTATTAAATATTTTTATATTTTAAAATTAAATATATATTTTTCACAAAGTATATTTAAATATTTAGAACCATTTATAAATTTAATAATTTTTTGGCATAATTTATCAAAATACATAATTTTTTTATAACTGGATATTGGGTGCCTTTAGTATTTCCCTCGATCATATCATTTTGCTTATAAATGTTCTTAACATATATATTTATATAGTGCAAATTTATTAAATAAAAATTTAATTAAACTATATTTATCCAAATGCAGTTTAATAGAATAGAAAAGCATTATAAGAGATTTAATATCACTCAATTTGAAATAGAAGAACAATTAATATATCTCTCATTGGCCTTGGAATTATAAGTTTAACAAAATGAAATTCCTTCATCAATTACTCTTGCACGCAATCATGAAAGATCAGTAATTTAATATTTTAATTAAATATAAACAGCCCTCATCTAACGAAGATAAGCTGAGCCACATTTTTTTTCGTAAATTATAGTGATCATTAGTTGATTTAATTAAATTACAAGAACATTTTTATTTGATCTTTTTTAAATGTTTGCTATGTTGAAATGAGTGAGTATTTCGATAAATTCTAAAGTGAATAAGACATAGCACAAGCACAGGTAAACCTAATTAACGTTACTGTTTATGTCAACAAAGTTCAGACGAAGCAAAAAACTTTACTTCCCCCCTCCAAATACTAAAGGGGTATGTGACAGAGTCTTGGGTTCAATTTTTAACCATGGCATTACATCAGGGGAAAAAAGAATCTTAAACGTGACAAAAAAATGGAGTTAATACCAAAAAGGGTAAATGTGCCATGACGAATAAATGAAATAATTGTTTATCTTATGCAGTCATCATACATATCCCTAGTTAGCCATAGACACAACCACACATAGCTAATTATATATAAAAAAAAAAACATATATAAGTGACCATTAACATAGTCAACTATTAAAAATCAAGATAAATTGCATTCATTTTTAAAATGATTTTACTTATCATTTGTTTCAATATTATAGTGTTTTCTCTTATTTACATAATATATATATATATATATATATATATATTCTAATAATTACATGATTTATTTGTACCCATGCATTTTATTAAAACTTAAATTATTAATTTTTTAATTAATAACTATATATTCATAAAATAGAAAACCTTTTTATGTAAAAAAATATTTAACTATTATTTATAAGCAAATATTTTTTCTACCTTTTTTTGAAAATACTATCCCTAACCCTTGGGCCGGCCCCGCGGACCAGCAACATTCCAGCAGTGACAAGGCTGCTACAGATGATTTTATAGGATTCCAGTTCCCTCAATGAATATGATGCTGCCAGGTGGCAGTTTGGGAGTATTATAGTATTTTTAAAATATTTTTAATTAATTAATTTTAAAAGTATATAAAATTAAAGAGTACATTTTAATTAATAATTAAAAATATTTTAAAAAATGTATTACCAGCTTTATTGGTTAAGAAAGATTTTAATACCGTGCAAACATAAACAAAGAACATAGCAACTGTATGCACTTGTTGTCACTGCTCTGAAGTAACAAAACATCTTTCAGCATTTTTCCATGGAATATATCGTTAATTTGATAGTTATTCCATATTGTTTAGACCATAATAATACATAATACAGTTGAAGATTAGGCTTAATCCAACATCTCTATTAGACATTTTTGGAACTTCAAATTTTCAAAATTCAAACTCTTACTTTCTTCATATTCAGCGCAAAATATATCAACCCATGAAGCTAAAACAGTCAAGAGAGGCCAAAGATCATAATTGGAGTCGAACTTCTGATAAAAAGTACACATATTAGGGAGGAGAAATAGATGTGACTTCAGGTACTTAATTATTACTTGTTTCTCCTAATACTGTGGAGTCACATTTTAAATCATACTATCGTGTTAAGATTTGAATTAGTAAAATATTTGGTTTGTTATATTTTATATTTGACATATATATACAAATATTTTTTAATCAGTTTAAATTATGTTTGGTGTTGTAATTTTAATTAATGTTTTTTTTTTGTTAATTTTTCATAGTTAATTTTAATATTAAAATAACACTTTTATTTTACTAGTTCGTCAAAAGGAAAATACATTAAAAATATATTTTATTTAACTAAAGTGCAGTTACATATTTGGCATAAGTATCTTAGATACTCATAATATGAAAATTAATATTGAAATAATTACTCGCACAAGATAAGTTCATAAACAGGTTCTTTTTAAAAACACAATTATGAAAATAAACACTATAAACAGGCGTCACTTAACTTTCTAATTTTTTTAAAAGAACAATAAAGTTTTATTTGTTTTGATATTGAGAAACATGGAAAAACTCATAAAAAAAGAAATTTATGAAAATAAAATTTGTATTATTGATAAAATAATTGATTGTAATGGAAAAAAAAATTACATATACTTACAATGACTCGTATATAAATAGTGACCCAACTAATTAATTCCAGCTAATACCTTTAACATTTGATCTTTTGGATCAATCTTCAATAATCTAAATCCATAGATGAATCTAACAAGCCTGAATCAGCGTGACTTAATTGTATTTTAATTACATTTAAACCCTTAAATGTTTCAGTAAAATAACAACAAGAGTTCCAAAGTCTAGTACTCAAATTATTTTTGGATCGACTTTTTCCTCTTTTCAGTCTATGGTTCTCAATTTTAGAGGAATGGTGAAAAGTGTCACAGAGGGGAGAGAAAAGATTAATTCAAAAAAAGGGAAAAGAGAATAACAGACGCAGAGATTTAGAAATTGGTTGTATTCATTATCCTCCCCCAATTATTAGGTGGTGTTTATATAACGTTATTCATGCAACGTGAAATACAAAAGGAATAGAAAGTTAGTTATGCTCCATATTGCATAACAGAATTCTCCTATGTGCAATAGTTGTCATGTCTTTAATTGGTTACGTAGTCTCAAAGGTAAAGAGGTTTGTTCCTGATTCTATGTGGCCTTTCTCCATTGTCAACAATATCTTGCTGTCCATTAACAACCTCTTAGCTGTCCATCTAGTGCATTGGACCTAACAAATGGCGTAAACCGAAGACAAAGACAATTGGAGAAAAATGAAACAACCACGTCCAAACTTGACTTCGTTCACTCAACATTTCTAACGTTGAGTATAGGGATGGCAACGAGTAAATTATTCAATTATTACTCGGAAAATCTATTCATAATGATTAGAATATTTATCTGCTACATGGGTACGAGTATAGATATAGGTAAATACTTGCAAATTTTAATAGAGATGAGTATGAGTATAAGCATATATATTTAAACTTTGTTGTACAACTATGTATTGTGTAACATCCTAGAATTTCACTTTTATATATATATATATATATATATATATATATATATATATATATATATATATATATATTCTTATTTAGTGACCCTCTTTCCCTGTGTTAAT